AGGCCCTTCTTGCCTTGTCTCTCAGATCGTTCACAGCTTTGTGGAAGTTACCTGTGGCGCTGATGTTTAGGCCGAGGTATGTGTCGTTTTTTGTGTGCTCTAGGGCAACGGTGTCTAGATGGAATTTGTATTTGTGGTCCTGGCAACTGGACCTTTTTTGGAACACCATTATTTTTGTCTTACTGAGATTTACTGTCAGGGCCCAGGTCTGACAGATTCTGTGCAGAAGATCTAGGTGCTGCTGTAGGCCCTCCTTGGTTGGTGACAGAAGCACCAGATCATCAGCAAACAGTAGACATTTGACTTCAGATTCTAGTATGGTGAGGCCGGGTGCTGCAGACTGTTCTAGTGCCCTCGCAAATTCGTTGATATACAGTGAGGAGAACAAGTATTTGATACACTGCCGATTTTGCAGGTTTTCCTACTTACAAAGCATGTAGAGGTCTGTAATTTTTATCATAGGTACACTTCAACTGTGAGAGACGGAATCTAAAACAAAAATCCAGAAAATCACATTGTATGATTTTTAAGTAATTAATTTGCATTTTATTGCATGACATAAGTATTTGATCACCTACCAACCAGTAAGAATTCCAGGTCTCACAGACCTGTTAGTTTTTCTTTAAGAAGCCCTCCTGTTCTCCACTCATTACCTGTATTAACTGCACCTGTTTGAACTCGTTACCTGTATAAAATACACACCTGTCCACACACTCAATCAAACAGACTCCAACCTCTCCACAATGGCCAAGACCGGAGAGCTGTGTAAGGACATCAGGGATAAAATTGTAGACCTGCACAAGGCTGGGATGGGCTACAGGACAATAGGCAAGCAGCTTGGTGAGAAGGCAACAACTGTTGGCGCAATTATTAGAAAATGGAAGAAGTTCAAGATGAGGGTCAATCACCCTCGGTCTGAGGCTCCATGCAAGATTTCACCTCGTGGGGCATCAATGATCATGAGGAAGGTGAGGGATCAGCCCAGAACTACACGGCAGGACCTGGTCAATGACCTGAAGAGAGCTGGGACCACAGTCTCAAAGAAAACCATTAGTAACACACAACGCCGTCATGGATTAAAATCCTGCAGCGCACGCAAGGTCCCCCTGCTCAAGCCAGCGCATGTCCAGGCCCGTCTGAAGTTTGCCAATGACCATCTGGATGATCCAGAGGAGGAATGGGAGAAGGTCATGTGGTCTGATGAGACAAAAATAGAGCTTTTTGGTCTAAACTCCACTCGCCGTGTTTGGAGGAAGAAGAAGGATGAGTACAACCCCAAGAACACCATCCCAACCGTGAAGCATGGAGGTGGAAACATCATTCTTTGGGGACAGGACGACTGCACCATATTGAGGGGAAGATGGATGGGGCCATGTATCGCGAGATCTTGGCCAACAACCTCCTTCCCTCAGTAAGAGCATTGAAGATGGGTCATGGCTGGGTCTTCCAGCATGACAACGACCCGAGACACACAGCCAGGGCAACTAAGGAGTGGCTCCGTAAGAAGCATCTCAAGGTCCTGGAGTGGCCTAGACCTGAACCCTATAGAAAATCTTTGGAGGGAGCTGAAAGTCCGTATTGCCCAGCGACAGCCCCGAAACCTGAAGGATCTGGAGAAGGTCTGTATGGAGGAGTTGGCCAAAATCCCTGCTGCAGTGTGTGCAAACCTGGTCAAGACCTACAGGAAACATATGATCTCTGTAATTGCAAACAAAGGTTTCTGTACCAAATATTAAGTTCTGCTTTTCTGATGTATCAAATACTTATGTCATGCAATAAAATGCAAATTAATTACTTAAAAATCATACAATGTGATTTTCTGGATTTTTGTTTTAGATTCCGTCTCTCACAGTTGAAGTGTACCTATGATATAAATTACAGACCTCTACATGATTTGTAAGTAGGAAAACCTGCAAAATCGGCAGTGTATCAAATACTTGTTCTCCCCACTGTATATGTTGAAAAGGGTGGGGCTTAACTGCATCCCTGTCTCACCCCACAACCCTGTGGAAAGAAATGTGTGTTTTTTGCCAATTATAACCACACACCTGTTGTTTCTGTACATGGATTTTATAATGTCATATGTTTTTCCCCCAACCCCACTTTCCATCAATTTATATAGCAGACCCTTATGCCAAATTGAGTCAAAACCACAGGCCTTTTTGGGTTGGAGGGTTTGTATTTTGTGCTGTAGTTCATTCAATGTAATTGGAGAATCCAGTGGGTTCTGGTAGTCTTTAATAGTTGATTCTAAGATTTGCATTTGATCATGTATATTTTTTTGCTGTTTGTTCTTTGTTATAGGGCCAAAATGATTGGAGAAGTGGTTTACCCATACATCTCCGTTTTGGATAGATAGCTCTTCGTGTTGTTGTTTGTTTAATGTTTTCCAATTTTCCCAGAAGTGGTTAGAGTCTATGGATTCTTCAATTACATTGATCTGATTTCTGACATGCTGTTCCTTCTTTTTCCATAGTGTATTTCTGTATTGTTTTAGTGATTCACCATAGTGAAGGCGTAGGCTCAGGTTTTCTGGGTCTCTATGTTTTTGGTTGGATAGGTTTCTCAATTTCTTTCTTAGGTTTTTGCATTCTTCATTGTTTTTGCTTTTCTTCGGTTTTCTGTTAAGAGATTTTTAGATTTCATAGGGAAGCTGAGAGGTCAAATATACTGTTTAGGTTTTCTACTGCCAAGTTTACACCTTCACTATTACAGTGGAACGTTTTGTCCAGGAAGATGTATAAAAGGGATTGAAATTGTTGTTGCCTATGGGTCATAGAGGCACAGTAAAAGGTAAAGGTAAGCATACTTTCCATTTTCACCTAAAGTTTCCTTTATTCATTCATTGATTAATAGAATATCTGGTTGCTATAAAAAATACGGTATAAAATACAATCATAGTTAAAGTGATAAATCAGCACCACTTTCTTTAATCGTCATAAAATAACCAGATAAATACACTGACTACAGTACATCTAACATGTTTTACCCTATATGGTACACGTAGTGAAATTGCCAAAACTACAATTAATATCATGCTGCTCCTTTTCTTCTGCATATTACTCTTCCAATGAGATATCAAGGTAGTGCCTCACGAAAGCAATAGTTAGGTCAACACTGGCATTATGGGAGATGAACCCCAGACAATCTTCAGAGAATGTTGACAGATGTCCCTCACAATGCTGCATGACAGACAATAGAATAAGATGATGATGATGATGATGACGACCGCCACACAACGACAACACAGAATCATAATTCATGAAAGGGTAGTGAATTAAATGAAGTAGAATTTGTATGGTGGTTTGAGAGACTAAACAGTAGCAGTATCATCCAGCCCTTTTCAACAGACTGGAGTGTAGATTAACAGTAATCCCCTCATGAGTAAAACCATATTAGATTCACTCAGAGGGATTCAAAAGGACTACAAGGCACAATGAATACAGTCTGTATACAGTACATCAAAGCAACGTGTCTACATCATAACACCATAAGTGTTACTTTTAAATAGCCTACAACGCGTTTCCGGAGTAGTTCCTTACAATGTGCTAGCTATAGAGTACCACAGTATGAGTCATAATACCCATAAAACCTATTGGTCAAACAAAGAAATGGTTCCAATCGTTTTTCCACCATTCATTTTTCCCATAGGGGATGTAAGAATCTCTGGATTAACTATCTAATGTTAGCTAAATTTAGTAATTAATAAAATTGGCAACATTTCTTTAAATTGACAATTCTGTGAACTGTCTTGTGCAATTTTCTTATTGACACAATACCAGTTTTTTATTTTTTTTAAATTCTTTTTTATTATTGGGGGTAGATCAGCTTTAATATATCAGATAGATTGTAACTTCCATCAATGTAATTGTCTGTATCGCTTCCAATCCCCCATGTTTTTTTTCTCTCTCGCATATATATATATACACACACATACAGTACATATCCTTTTTAAAAATATATTTCCCTTTATTACTTTCCAACCCCACCACCCCTTCCCTAATTGGAGTAAACTAGTGAACAACAACGCTTAGGCCTCTACTTCCAGCTTATACATACTATATACATTTTATGGACACAGTCAAGTTTACAATAATTCTATTTTGTTTGTTTTTACTCCTGAACTTCCTCTATCCTCAAGCTCTCCGATCATTTTCATGATGTCCATCTGGTTTCCTTCTATATGCCATATCGTTCTAACTGTGCTCTTTCACAATACCTGTTAGCAATGGTGTCAGCTAGAGATGACATGCAGGAGCTTGCAGGGATTTGTAGTATACTTGAATGCTAATTAGCATTTTCAAATCTGAGAGTAAATAGAGCTGACTATATTGATAAAAGTCACCTTATCCAAGAGAGATTTACATGGTAATCATTTAGCCACGACAGGGTAAGCCTACATGAAACACAGCCCTTATTTTAAGTGTTTCTAAAATTCCCTATGGGAAAAATGAATGGTGGAAAAACGATTGGAACCATTTCCCTGTTTGACCGCTATGTTTTATGGGAATTATGACACTTCCACTGTGGGGCTCAATAGGCACTACTGAATAACGGAATGCTATGGAATAGACCACACTTCCCAAGATGTCCCACAGGACAGAGAGCCCATTAAACATGAAGAGAATATTATCATAAACATTCACAATGCACTTTTTCCCATATTGCACAGTTGTAAGCACTTCAATCCACCAAGTCAATTCATTATTCCTACATTTTGTATTTTTGGCTCAACTGTTTGTGGACAAGGCACCAACTGGGTACAAGGCACAGTACAGTAGTGTATAGTGAAAGTCTCTTGCTTTGGAAACATTATTGGTGATTATGCTGCTGATTGGACAGATGGTCAAAAACTCGTGAGATGTGCCCAAAAGGTCAATGGCACCGCCTCAACAGTGTGATGGTAGGACATTACATTTCTCTGCTATAACAATGTCACACACATGTCCCTCTATTCACACATATACTGACACACACACACACACACACACACACACACACACACACACACACACACACACACACACACACACACACACACACAATTGCACATTGATGTGTAAGCCTCCACTCAGTATCTCTCTTGAGCAAAGGCAGAGCAGTGTTATGGTCTCTACTGCCTCCTGTCTGTCTGTCTTTACTCCACAGTGACAGACTTGGCCAGGTTCCTGGGACAGTCCACCTGCAACCAGAGGAGAGAGAGTCAGCCATTAAACAAGACCAATACTGATGAGTAAAGGAGACAAGACTAGATACACATACAGCATAGGTGTATGGCAGTGTAGGCTCCTTATAAAAATACATTACAAAAGTTATATTCACGCACCAAATAATTGATTAAAACACACTGTTTTGCAATGAAGGTCTACAGTAGCCTCAACAGCACTCTGTAGGGTAGCACCATAGTGTAGCCGGAGGACAGCTAGCTTCTGTCCTCCTCTGGGTACATTGACTTCAATACAAAACCTAGGATGCTCATGGTTCTCACCACCTTCCATAGACTTATACAGTAATTATGACAACTTCCGCAGGGCATCCTCTTGCAGCATGAACTGACATGTTGTCCACCCAATCAAAGGACAAGAAAATGAGTCTAGTACTGAAAGCATAAGCTACAGCTAGCTAGCACTGCAGTTTATACAATATGGTGAGTAGATGACTCAAAGAGAGAGAAAGACAACAGTTGAACCGTTTTGAACAAATGCAGTTATTTAAAAATGAAGGAGAAGCAAGAGAACGAGAGCTATATTTAATATTTTTTTCACTTTCACCTTAGCTACTGAATGAGGCTAGCTAGTTTAGCCTACTCAAACAGAGAAGGGATGCTATGTTAGCTAGCTGGCTATGGCTATCCAACACTGTAACTCTTCCAAGTCAAGGTAAGCCTTTATTTGTATGAATTTATTACCACTGGGGCCCGCCGGTGTATCTGCTAAACTGCTTGCTTACTGTACACTGTACTGCATGATTGTAGCGGGTTTACTAATGTGTTAGTTCTAGTAGCTATATTGACTTGACGTTAGCTAATATGGTGACAAAGATGTAGGCTGTGTGTAGCGGTTAGCGGTTATGATATGAAGGTTTGGCTTGGAAAGGTTTTTCGCCTGGTCACAGACAGCTGATGTGTTGTGCACTGAAGTCCACAAGCGAAGGGGAAAGGTGAGAGGAGGAGAGCGCGTAGATGTAATTATCCAACCATCAAAGGGCTCATGCTGTTTGTATGTGGCTGCTATGAAAGTGAACTGTGTTTGTGTGTGATCAGGGGTGTATTCATTCCGCCGATCATGTTGAAAAACGTTTCTTAAACAGAAGCAAACGGAATGAAACGGGGATAAACATACATAATTTGTCCAATAGAAACTCTTGTTTGCAACTGTTGGACTAATTGATTACACCCTAGATCAGCTAGATGCAGGCAAGTGTGTGCAAGGCGGTTTTGAATGTGTCACTGTCTGTCACCTTGATTACTCAAATTTCTCTCGACCTGTGCACCTACATTGTCAACTTTCATTCATAGGCTAGGTTGTAGCAACCTCATGATGGGTATAGGGAGAATTCATGTAGTAGCCTAAACCTATCGATATTACATTGAGCTGGGTGAATGGAATATGAATGACAGTCATCCAATATGCTGTAATAGAAATAAAGCCATGCTCATTAAAAAAATAAACGTCCTCCCTCATCTTAAACGGCACCGACCGCCACTGGTGTATGGGTAGTTGATTTGGTGTGCACTTGTAACTGTTGATTTTGATACTTGTTGTAATGAAATTGAAAAAATAAAATAGTCAATAGTAGGGAATAAAATGCAAGGTACAGTAGAAGTCCATAAGGAAAGAGCAGTAAGATAAGGTAGTGGTAGACTCACGTCGTATCCTCGTAGCACGGCCAGGTGGAAAGACAGGAGCTGCAGTGGGATGACACTGAGGATGCCCTGGAGACAGTCCACCGTGTGAGGCAGCTCGATGGTCTTATACGCATTCTTAGACACCTCCGGGTCGTCCTGGCAACACAGGATAATCGGCCGCCCCTGAACGGGAAGGAGAGAAAGAAAGAGTGGTTTACAGAAGTAAATCGATCAATTCATTTTCATACATTATTCAAAGCTTTTCATAGTGAGGCTGTGTATTATTCTTTTTGTCTGTGTACTGTGCGTGAGCCAGTTTAGATGTGGGTGTGTATATGAGGTGGGTATTTAGTTGTGTCTATGTGAGTGAAGAATGTGACATACCGATCTGGCTGTGACTTGCTGCAGTGCGTTCTGACACTTGGTGTAGCAGGCGTCTCTCATGATGATCATGATGACCGGCATGTGCTTATCAATCAGAGCCAGGGGGCCGTGCTTCAGCTCCCCAGCCAGGATGCCCTCTGAATGCATGTACGTGATTTCCTTGATTTTCTGTTTGGGAAGAATCAATCAGTTATATAACATAATCAACAGTCTATAATTCATATAGATAAACCAGAACGTGAATACATAGAGAGATATGTTTAATGATATATAAAGGACTGAAAAATAGGAGAAAAAGCAAAACATTGCCCCTAGAAACTGATTTAAGGTCAGTTTAGCATGTTCCCTATAATGGTTTAGGGTCAGGATTTGGGGTGGGTAAGCTGATCCTAGATCTGTCCTCACCAGCGCCCCCTCCAGACAGGTGGCATAGTTGAAGCCTCGTCCCATGACCAGCAGAGACTTCTGCTGATACAGCTCATCTGCTATTGACTTGATCTTCTTATCCAGAGTCAGAACCTTCTTGATCATGTCTGAGAGGAAGTGGAGAGAGAGAGAGTGCGAGGGAGAGAGAGAGAGAAAGGAGGAGGGAGAGGGGGACAGAGGGTTTGGTTCACTCTTATTCATCTATTTTGTTCACTCAGTCCATTTTGTAACACCTGGTAGTACTCTATTGGTTATAGTGTGTGATGGTTATACCTGCAGTTTTGTTTCAGTGAGCTGGTTTATGGTGTGTAATGTGTCATTCTACACTGCTCAAAAAAATAAAGGGAACACTTAAACAACACAATGTAACTCCAAGTCAATCACACTTCTGTGAAATCAAACTGTCCACTTAGGAGGCAACACTGATTGACAATACATTTCACATGCTGTTGTGCAAATGGAATAGACAACAGGTGGAAATTATAGGCAATTAGCAAGACACCCCCAATAAAGGAGTGGTTCTGCAGGTGGTGACCACAGACCACTTCTCAGTTCCTATGCTTCCTGGCTGATGTTTTGGTCACTTTTGAATGCCGGCGGTGCTTTCACTCTAGTGGTAGCATGAGACGGAGTCTACAACCCACACAAGTGGCTCAGGTAGTGCAGCTCATCCAGGATTGCACATCAATGCGAGCTGTGGCAAGAAGGTTTGCTGTGTCTGTCAGCGTAGTGTCCAGAGCATGGAGGCGCTACCAGGAGACAGGCCAGCACATCAGGAGACGTGGAGGAGGCCGTAGGAGGGCAACAACCCAGCAGCAGGACCGCTACCTCCACCTTTGTGCAAGGAGGAGCAGGAGGAGCACTGCCAGAGCCCTGCAAAATGACCTCCACCAGGCCACAAATGTGCATGTGTCTGCTCAAACGGTCAGAAACAGACTCCATGAGGGTGGTATGAGGGCCCGACGTCCACAGGTGGGGGTTGTGCTTACAGCCCAACACCGTGCAGGACGTTTGGCATTTGCCAGAGAACACCAAGATTGGCAAATTCGCCACTGGCGCCCTGTGCTCTTCACAGATGAAAGCAGGTTCACACTGAGCACATGTGACAGATGTGACAGAGTCTGGAGACGCCGTGGAGAACGTTCTGCTGCCTGCAACATCCTCCAGCATGACCGGTTTGGCGGTGGGTCAGTCATGGTGTGGGGTGGCATTTCTTTGGGGGCCGCACAGCCCTCCATGTGCTCGCCAGAGGTAGCCTGACTGCCATTAGGTACCGAGATGAGATCCTCAGACCCCTTGTGAGACCATATGCTGGTGCGGTTGGCCCTGGGTTCCTCCTAATGCAAGACAATGCTAGACCTCATGTGGCTGGAGTGTGTCAGCAGTTCCTGCAAGAGGAAGGCATTGATGCTATGGACTGGCCCGCCCGTTCCCCAGACCTGAATCCAATTGAGCACATCTGGGACATCATGTCTCGCTCCATCCACCAACGCCATGTTGCACCACAGACTTTCCAGGAGTTGGCGGATACTTTAGTCCAGGTCTGGGAGGAGATCCCTCAGGAGACCATCCGCCACCTCATCAGGAGCATGCTCAGGCGTTGTAGGGAGGTCATACAGGCACGTGGAGGCCACACACACTACTGAGCCTCATTTTGACTTGTTTTAAGGACATTACATCAAAGTTGGATCAGCCTGTAGTGTGGTTTTCCACATTAATTTTGAGTGTGACTCCAAATCCAGACCTCCTTGGGTTGATACATTTGATTTCCATTGATAATTTCTGTGTGATTTTGTTGTCAGCACATTCAACTATGTAAAGAAAAAAGTATTTAATAAGATTATTTCATTCATTCAGATCTAGGATGTGTTATTTTAGTGTTCCCTTTATTTTTTTGAGCAATGTATATGGCTTTAATATAGGAACTCACCTGGGAGTATCCTGAGTCCGTTGATGATCTCCAGCCTCCTCGGCTGCAGGGAGATCCTGTCCTCACTCATCATCAGACCAAACATAATGAGAGCCACAAACTGGCTGGTGTAGGCCTTGGTGCTTGCCACCCCGATCTCTGGGCCGGCGTTGATGTGCACCCCGCAGTCTGTGTCTCTGGAGATGGAGGAGCCCACTGTGTTGGTGACCCCCACCGTCAGAGCTCCTCTATCCTTACAGTACCTCAGAGCCATCAGGGTGTCTGCTGTCTCACCTGAGGGGGGAAGGAGGGAGATAACCAAGGCATGTTATCATTCATACAAGCAAAACACACTAGAATTCTCCCTTACTCAACAGATTATCCACATTATCCATACTAGCCTTCTCTCTATTAGAACATCCAGTCTCCACCAGAGAGAGAGTTCTCTCTCTATTAGAACATCCAGTCTCCACCAGAGAGAGAGTTCTCTCTCTATTAGAACATCCAGTCTCCACCAGAGAGAGTTCTCTCTATTAGAACATTCAGTCTCCACCAGAGAGATAGTTCTCTCTCTATTAGAACATTCAGTCTCCACCAGAGAGAGAGTTCTCTCTATTAGAACATCCAGTCTCCACCAGAGAGAGAGAGTTCTCTCTCTATTAGAACATTCAGTCTCCACCAGAGAGAGTTCTCTCTCTATTAGAACATCCAGTCTCCACCAGAGAGTTCTTTCTATTAGAACATTCAGTCTCCACCAGAGAGAGAGTTCTCTCTATTAGAACATTCAGTCTCCACCAGAGAGATAGTTCTCGCTATTAGAACATCCAGCCTCCACCAGAGAGAGAGAGTTCTCTCTATTAGAACATCCAGTCTCCACCAGAGAGAGAGTTCTCTCTCCATTAGAACATCCAGTCTCCACCAGAGAGAGATTTCTCTCTATTAGAACATCCAGTCTCCACCAGAGAGAGAGTTCTCTCTCTATTAGAACATTCAGTCTCCACCAGAGAGAGAGTTCTCTCTATTAGAACATCCAATCTCCACCAGAGAGAGTTCTCTCTATTAGAACATCCAGTCTCCACCAGAGAGAGTTCTCTCTATTAGAACATCCAGTCTCCACCAGAGAGAGAGAGTTCTCTCTATTAGAACATCCAGTCTCCACCAGAGAGAGAGAGTTCTCTCTCTATTAGAACATTCAGTCTCCACCAGATATAGTTCTCTCTATTAGAACATCCAGTCTCCACCAGAGAGAGAGAGTTCTCTCTATTAGAACATCCAGTCTCCACGAGAGAGAGAGAGTTCTCTCTCTATTAGAACATTCAGTCTCCACCAGATATAGTTCTCTCTATTAGAACATCCAGTCTCCACCAGAGAGAGAGAGTTCTCTCCATTAGAACATCCAGTCTCCACCAGAGAGATAGTTCTCTCTATTAGAACATCCAGTCTCCACCAGAGAGAGATTTCTCTCTATTAGAACATCCAGTCTCCACCAGATAGAGAGTTTTATGAAACACCAACAACACAAAAATGTATAGCAGATTAATCGCTCTGAGGAATTACCTGATTGGCTGATGTAGAAGCAGACGTCGTCTCTGAAGACGGGCGTGTTGCGGTCCAGGAAGTCGCTAGCCAGTTCCACCATGACAGGAAGCTCTGTCAGCTCCTCCAGAATCTGTCTGGTCTGGGGAGAGGGAGGCAGGGGGAGAGAGAGAGAGAGAGGGAGAGAGGGAGAGAGAGAGAGAGAGAGAGAGAGAGAGAGAGAGGGAGACTCATCCTTATCATAATCACAATGGTCATCATCATCATCATCTTTTCCTTCTCCTCCTCTTCCTCAATCACACTTCTAGTTGGTTCACTTACAGCCACAGCAGCGTGGAAGCTCGTTCCACAGCCAATCACGATGAGACGTCTGCAGCGTTTGATCTCCTTCAGGTGGTCCTTCAGCCCTCCCAGGATCACTGAGAACAAGACAGGACAGGAGAGGAGAGACCATCAGGATTCATATTTAGTCCAAGGAGGTAAGAGGGGTAACTATGGACTTCTTTACGTTACACTACTTTGACAACACAAACTAAGTCCAGGAGAGAAACAAGCATATTAAAGTTCCAGAGTGTGATCTCTGCTACTTTTAGAGTTATGATTCAATTTGTAAGCATTACCAACAGAGTGAATGTGAAAATGGATTCAAAATGGTCGCCCTCTGCTGGTGATTTGCAGGATGTACAATGATACAAGTAAAAGGAGGGCTGTAATTGGTCACATTGTCTACTATGTCAATTTCTCTGTATAAAATGGGCCAATACTTTAACACTAGTCTTTTTTTGTCTGGGTTTCCTGAGGAATCACTCTATACATCCATGTAGTAACTGGTAATAACCTATGCTTGCCTCCGTGAGTTGCTGTGCTAATATTGATTGAGGTTATGGCAACGTACCATCAGCATCCTGGAACAACATGGAGTGACATCAATCAGAATATGACATCACAATGGTAAGCTACCTTTGTTGGTGTCAAAACAGATCCGCCCCCTCATTGTGTTGAAGACAGACTCTGGCTGCTCAAAGATCTCCTTTTGCATAAATGCCTCAAAGTTACCTGCACAGAAAAGAGAGAGAGAGGAGGGACACGGAGCATGATGACTGTGTTTCAGTCTTACAGCTCAATGGTGTAGGTACTCCTCAACACCAACAGGGGGAGATCTTGTTCTACTTTTCTTAGAGCTATAGACAGCAGTAAAGTATGGTTGGCCATGGGCCTGTCTCTCTGTAAATCAGACTACATTTCTCAGGTATGACACGAGACCTTATCTTTGACCTCTGTGTGAATGGGAAGCTGTATTGGTATTGACCACTCCAGGCATATGACCGCTGTGTGAATGGGAAGGTGTATTGGTATTGACCAGCTCCAGGCATATGACCGCTGTGTGAATGGGAAGGTGTATTGGTATTGACCAGCTCCAGGTATATGACCTCTGTGTGAATGGGAAGGTGTATTGGTATTGACCAGCTCCAGGCATATGACCGCTGTGTGAATGGGAAGGTGTATTGGTATTGACCAGTTCCAGGTATATGACCTCTGTTTGAATGGGAAGGTGTATTGGTATTGACCAGTTCCAGGTATATGACCGCTGTGTGAATGGGAAGGTGTATTGGTATTGACCAGCTCCAGGCATATGACCGCTGTGTGAATGGGAAAGTGTATTGGTATTGACCGGTTCCAGGTATATGACCTCTGTTTGAATGGGAAGGTGTATTGGTATTGACCAGCTCCAGGTATATGACCGCTGTGTGAATGGGAAGGTGTATTGGTATTGACCACTCCAGTTTTTTGTTACCCTTAGGCACACATATCTAGAATGAGGCTTTGCCTACCCTCCTCAAATCCTAACCTGGCACAAAACGGACCTTACATTAGTGTGTAGGGCCTGGGACACTCTATCCTACTCCTAGTAAACTCCTAGGTTGCCATGGCGATGAGCACTAGGATCTCTAACCTCTGACCTTTCATAATCTCCTGTAGTTCCATCTGGAGGGTCTGGATGGCCCGGACTGAATCCTCCCCTGCCAGGCTGTTCAGCCTATGGAGGGACAACTTGCCCCCGACCACTGCTACTATGTCATCATCCTCCAGGTAGATCACCTTGTTGGTGTGCTCTATGATGGCACTGGGCAGGGACAGAAGAAGGAGGAGGAGGAAGAGGAGGGAGCATGAGACAAGCACAAAAACACAAGCATGCATGCACACACACACACACACACCTAGGGCTTTCAGCTCACCTGGCGTCAGAGGCAAAGTAGTACTCCACAGCCTTGCCGTCTCCAGCTGAATTCACAGCAGTGGAGTTGTCTGGCCGGTTGTGGCTGTTTTTCTCCTGGACCCCCTCCTTGAACAGATCTACAGGACAGAGGGCAGGGGTTAGAGGGCAGGGGTTAGGGGTCATGGTTCAGACTGGGTCAGGGAAATCAACACTTCCTGCTTTACTTGAACTTTCACCTAGACTGTTTTAAGTCAGTTGTCATTAATTAGTGACTGCTTGTGACATGCTTATAACTGCTTATACTGTATGTCATGATCATGATGGTGGCTACTTAGCCTTCAAGGTGGAGGGTTCAAGTAAAGTGCTGCAAACTAAAGATTGCAAGTGTGAACAGTGAATAATAAACAGAGAGGGATTGAATCAACAACCCAATGATTTCAACCAAAACAAGACAGGTGGGATTAGAGTTCATGATCGTGATTGACAGACAACAGAGAGGAGTCAAGGGTCCTTTGACCATCAATAAACATGCTAATCATATGGTTACATTGCTTCACCAGGTGGAGGTGAAGGTTCAATTTGCAATCTGTATTGATTTGTCACATGGTATTTATGAGGTGACTCACACACAGTGACCTTTGCCCTTTGTCACAGTTACAGGAGTATTAGTCCCTGATAGCGATAAGTGACATCTCCTTGTCTCCTTGTTTCTTTCCTTCATCTGCACGCGACAGGTGAAAACACATTTCCATCCACTATGTTGCTTTCACCTATCCTGTGTTTTTAGATGAGCGGAGATGAGGGAAAGGAGCATAGAGGAGGAAGCCACTTTATAGCGTTGAGATGCACCCCATTAACCTCCTACTCTTCCTCGTTCCTTTCATTGGGCCTCAGACTTCGGACCCGCCCCACAAAATGTTTCCAGCAGGATACATCACTAATAAATCGGAGCTTAGCTAAGTAAACATATAGCAGGGTGAAGACAGTGAATAAATCTACAGGGTGTTCTCTAGATAGTTGACGCACACAGAGAGAACATAACCAACTGTTATTAACTGGCCAATGAGTAGGTAAGGAGCAGATTTATTATGACACACATGTCAAGATAATCTTTGAAATCTATCATTTGGAGAGTGCTATCCTACTCATTGTTTATAAGTAATAGTTACTGGATGAGGATTCAGCACCCTATTCATTAGAAGAAAGGGAACTTTAGAGTCAGAATGTTATATTGCAATGTTATGTTATTAACCTGACACTACTTTCCACTGAGTGTGATCATGATGTTAACCTATAATAACCCATAGAGGTTCAACACAGTATTGGCAGCATTTCCACAAGAAGCAAGAGTCTCATTTCTCAACCATCATTTTTGTGATTCTGCATAATCTTTGCACTAGTAGACAATCATTTAACATTCGAATCATTGGAGACATTTGTCTGATTAAAGAGAATCTGATTGTTGTTAGTCATGCAACTCTTATGAGGTGGTTCAATCTTAACGTCCAATCAGAGGTCAAAACCCACAACACCCACGTGTGTATTGGGTAGTTAGCGCACCTACGGGCTCAGCAGCCCCCTGTCGTGCTGTAAACACTGGGGTGACTGCACAGTCCCTCAGGACAGAGTAGTACGGCGCTACGGATAGGACAGGGTTAGGGTTAGTCTTAGATGATTACATGTTATCACACACAAGAGGGTTATCATTAGTCTGGACCAGATGGTAAGTACTGCTACTGTTAGGGTCAGGACACAGATACTGCTCACAGTAAGTACTGCTACTGTTCGGGTTAGGACACAGTTAGTTAATTGAATGATTAGGTTGGTTAGTTTGTTATTCATGGGTTTACTCCTATTTACCTGAATCATGACTTGAGATACAGACATAACTTCACTTTTCATGCAAACCTCATTAATATCAATGCATGATTTATGCGTTTGTTCGAGTTATGCACTCGTATCTCAAGTCAGAGATCGGTCCATGAATATTATGTTCCAGAACGTGTTGAGATGCGTTAACTAACCCAGTCAGGTTTCTGTGAGAACAGTGGGCAGACAGAGGTTTAAGAACACTGTAAAGTGAGAATGTCAGACAGAGAGGAGGGTTGAGAGAGAGGAACAGAGCTCACCACTGTTGTACTGGATTGGGATGTGCTCTGCAGACAGCTCATACTTGCTCCGCACACCAATGAGCAGAGGACTTCCTCTCCTGAAGGAGAGAGAGAAAGGGGGGATGGATAGAGGGATGGGGATGAATGGGAAAGAGATTGAGAAAGACAGAGGGGGTAGAAGGGGAGAAATGGTTAGATTTCTATCTGTGTGAGAGAACACAAACACACACTTACACACACACGTGCGCACACACAGTGTAATGTCTTAATACATTTCTTGTGACTGTAATATTTCCCTCAGCAGGGGAATATGAGCTGGGATTGGTCTCCACACCTCAGCTGAACTCTTTCTCCCGAGTGTTACCTTTGAATGACTCCCATTGTTCACTACACAATAATGAAGTACCTGGAGCACTCCTCGCTCTCTCTCTCCTTTTTCTCCCCTGTGTGTCTCTCTCTCGTCATACTATCTCTTACTTTCTCTTTGCCAGCCTCCCTCCCTCCCTCCCTCCATCCCTCTCTCCCTCCCTCCCTCCCTCCCTCCCTCCTTCCTTTAATCTATGTCTCTGATCTTTTCTAGCACGTTCTTGCTCCTTGTCCACCCTCTCCCCTACAGGTGGTTGCGTCAGTTCCTGCTCATGTTTCTAGCTCATCAGCCATGCATTCTGTCTCCAGTACGCCATGTGTGCTTCTCTGATTGGCTGATGCAGGTGTAGATGTAAGTGTCCATAACTGGTGAGGAGAGATGGCTTGGCAAACCTAACCTGCATATAGATCAAGTAGGACCTATGACGGAGTGTACTGTACACAAAGCACCTGATAAATATCTACATCTCAATTACACCTATGTATGTAGCATTGTAGTGCTTGACAGCTTACACCTGGCTGGGGTAATACCCACCTGAGGCTCAAAGAAAACAGCAACGTTTCTCAATTACACTATTTTCTTTCCCTCTGTTTACTGCATCCCTCTCTTCTCTGTCAGCCCTGTATGTGGGGCTGGGAGCTGTAAGCTGGGGCAGAGTGACGTCAAGCAGAAAGGCAGGCTGCTGTGCTGTTCTTTTTCAGATTCACAGTGTTTAAGTCACATGTACAGGGTTGCAGGGTACAGCGCTTAATAGTCACATGTACAGGGTTGCAGGTGTGATTGCAGGGTACAGTGTTTAATAGTCACATGTACAGGGTTGCAGGTGTGATTGCAGGGTACAGTGTTTACAGTTTTTCTCAATTGCTAAAACACTAAACCCTATTGTCTGAACCAAATGCTCAGTTGCCTGAACCCACTGATTGAATCAATCACTCTTTTGGCAAAACCATAAGCACTTTTCACCTGTTTAGACATAACTTGCCAACACATTTTCATTGTGATGCACCCGTGCTGCATAATGGTGAGCACAGGTGACAAAAGTCAAACACAATTAGAGCACAGGTGTCACCACTTGAACACAACAACTCAAAATTGATCACACTTGTGGCTAATGATGTGAGGGAACATATACAGTAAGCCAGTTCAGAGAGCACTGGTTTGTGAGGCCCTACAATGGATAGAAATCTGAGAGGAAGAGTTCGTGTGAGAGGAGGTCGAGGTGGTCGAGGTGGTCGAGGTGGTCAGCGAAGACAAAGAACAGTAATATCTGATGAAATCAGAGCTACTGTGATTGACCATGTTCTTGTCCATGGTATGAGCATGAGGGAGGCTGGACAAAGGGTACAACCAAACATCAGTAGATTCACTGTGTCCACCATAATCCGAAGATTTAGAGAAAAGAACAGGTAATTACCTTTTTTTGACATTATAGTACAGTATGTAAATGTTGACAGCAATTACTGTATGACATACTATATACTGTACCACAGTATACTGTAAGTAAATATATGTTTCAGTACATCACTGTACCAATGTACTGTAGTATTGTAATGGAGGGTTGGTCTAACTGTTTGTAGGCCTAGTATTCCATGTATATTTTTTGTAACTCCATGTTCTCTTTTTGTAGAATTGAAAGACTGCCACATGGGGGTGGGAGGACAGGTATGTTCTCCCCACACCAAGAGACCCTAATTGTTGATATGGTCCGTGAGAACAATGCCATTAAACTGAGCGAAATTCAGCAGAAGATCATTGAGGACCATTACAATTTTGAGGGTATCAACAGTGTCAGCCTCTCTACTGTTGATCGTGTCCTCAAGCGCAACAGACTGCGCATGAAACAGCTATACAGAGTGCCCTTTGATCGCAACTCAGACAGAGTCAAAGAGCAAAGATTCCAGTATGTACAGGTTGGCATATATCCAGACACATTCAATGTTGATTACTCTAAGTAGTGATTTACTGTAGTGGCCTAAATCACTTTTTCCATATCACTTACAAAACTATATCTATTTCTACAGAGGGTTTTTCAACTGGATGCAATGGAAAGACCCCATCAATACATCTACATGGATGAAGCTGGGTTTAATCTCACCAAAAGGAGAAGGAGAGGCCGTAATGTGATTGGTGTTCCTGGGCAGCGTGGTGGCAATGTCACATTATGTGCTGCCATCAGCAATCATGGGGTTGTCCACCATCATGCCAACCTGGGGCCCTACAACACTCACCAGCTCCTCATTTTCCTCAATCACATGCGAGATGCTTTGTTAGGGCAGCAGGATGAGCATCCCATCTATGTTGATGTTTGGGACAATGTGAGTTTTCACAGAGCCCTCCAGGTTAGAGAGTGGTACAATATGAACCAAGGTTTTATCAATCTTTGCCTTCCACCGTACTCCCCTTTCCTAAACCCCATTGAGGAATTATTCTCCTCATGGCGGTGGAAGGTATATGAACGCCAACCTTACACCAGGGTAAATCTCCTGCAAGCCATGGGACTTGCCTGTGGTGACATAGGTGTGGAGGCATGCCAAGCCTGGATACGGCATGCCAGGGGTTTTTTCCCCCGTTGCCTGGCCAGACAAAATGTGGCCTGTGATGTGGATGAAGTCCTGTGGCCTGACCCAGTACGGAGACATGATGCTGTGGCTGAGTAATGCACTTATTTTTATATTTTTGTACTTTCTTTTTACATGGGCTTACTGTACACAAGTGGCAAACGCATAAGATTTCTGTTTGTTTTTACAAGTGCTACATGTAAATGCACAAGATTTCTGTTTTGTCTTTTTGTACAAGTGCTAAATGCACAGTTTTTTTTTGTTTTGCAACATGCATTTAGCCTACAGTGAACAATAAACATTTATTTCTCCAGCTTCATGTCCTGAGCATTGTGTTTTCTATTTTTCTACGTAGTGTTTAGTGACTGTTCAGTAGTGTTTTTAATTTTGATTGACTCGGGGCACGATTTCACAACATAGTTCAGTTTTGAGCACAGATTGAACTGTTTTGAGGTGAAAGTTTGGTTTTGCAAGAAGAGTCTGAGGTTTTGTGAATGTAGCTTGAAAATTGGGTTTTGTGTTCACAGTTAAGAGAAAGAAATGTGTCTTAGCAATCGAGAAAAACTGTAATAGTCACATGTACAGGGTTGCAGGTGTGATTGCAGGGTACAGTGAAAGTCTTAGGCTCCAAGCTTCAACATGCAGGACTAAGTTAAATAAAAGAATGAAAATGGTCATAAAAAAACAACAGAAGAAATAGCACTATACATTATTCATCGAGAGAGAGAGAGAGAGAGAGAGAGAGAGAGAGAGAGAGAGAGAGAGAGAGAGAGAGAGAGAGAGAGAGAGAGAGAGAGAGAGAGAGAGAGAGAGAGAGAGAGAGAGAGAGAGAGAGAGAGAGAGAGAGAGAGAGAGAGAGAGAGAGAGAGAGAGAGAGAGAGAGAGAGAGAGAGAGATTCTCAGGCGAGCCTTGCTGGAGGGCTGATAGTTCTGCCAAAAAGAGAGGGAGCAGGGGCTAGCATCACTACTTAATCACTTCCATCCCTCCATTTCTCTCTCTACCCTGGGAGACACACCTAACAGCTCAGTCTCTGACTCCCAAGACTAGGCTAAGCTAAAAACAGCAGGTAACTATCAGAGAGAAAGAGACAGAGAGACAGAGACAGAGAGAAAGGGAGAGAGAGTTGTATTATTCAGTCAAACCCACTGTATCCAGGTGGAGCAACAACAGGTGTACTAACTGAACCCTGGCCAGTATATTAGTCTGCTGGCAACAGCACCAACCAACCATCCTCTTTACTGTGTACTATAAACCATAGGTCAACAACAGCCCTCGCCTCACCCTCTTTCCCTCAGTCTACCAACAAGGAAACAGAGAGAAAAAATTGAAGAAATCAAGAGAGAAATCAAGAGATCAGAGGTGATTGAGTGTGATAGGTGCTGGCCAGGGTTTTTTCCCTGAGAAGCAAGAGGAAACAGAGCAGAGCCTTCCTTTAATGAGTCACAGAGAGTAGAGTAGAGCCAGGCAGGAGGCCAGCAGCCAGCCTTAGAGAGGCCCTGTAAGGAGTGACTGAACCTGGACCACACTCCTCTCTTTCTCCCCCTGTCTGGGTCTCAAAGTCACACTGCTTCTCTATACAGTACCACACACACAAGTATGCATGAGGCACACAAACTAACATTTACATTTCAGTCATTTAGCAGATGCTCTTATCCAGAGCATATTACAGGAGCAATTAGCATTAAGTGCCTTGCTCAAGGGCACATCAAGGACAGATTTTTCACCTAGTTGGCTCGGGGATTCAAACCACCGACCTTTCGGTTACTGGCCCAACGCTCTTAACCGCTCACACACACGTCCACCCCTTTCCTGTAAACCCTGACTGTTCCAACTTCCAGTCATCATACGTGACCCATGGAATAGATGGAATAGACGTAGGTAGAGACACACAATCTGAAGATCAATATATGGCTATATATAGTCAGGTTTTATTGATTTATTATGGCAATAGACGATGAGTCAATGCCAATGGGTCTTGATCATTTTTTCTATCATGTGTTCATACGTTAGTCAGACAGACCGAAACGTGTGGGTGAGTGGAAGTGGATACTGACCTGGTGGCTACAGCTTCTCCGGGGAAATGATGGCTTTTGAACACCAGAGCGAAGGCCCCCTCCTAAAACAGGATGCCAAAGAGGAGAGAATATGTTAGCGTCCATGATGATGATGATGAAGATGATGCCAGAGGAGAAGAAGGATGAAGATGAGAAGGAATTGTAAAAAGACTAAATACATGGGAGGAAAATGTAGAAGTCGAACAGACAGACAGCGAGCTTAAAAAGCAACATAAAAATTCCCTGTCTGTTTTTGGATAGTCTTTTAATCTGTGTAGTAGTGGGGGTGTGAGGGAGGGAGGGATGGGGGATGTTTAGGGAAGCTAAGGGGGAATAAGACCCTTATTGTATAAAACCAGCGGGGGGAGATAGAGGGGAAAGGAGTGGGAGGAGTGGGGAGAAGGAGATGGAGGAGAGAGGGGAGAGAAGAGGGAGAGGGGAGAGGGAGACGGAGGAGAGAGGGGAGAGGAGTGGGAGACGGCGGAGAGAGGGGAGAGGAGGGGGAGAGGGAGATGGAGGAGGAGGAGGAGGAGAAAGAGATGGGAGGCAGTGGTCTTTAGACTGTAAGGGGTGTGCTCTGGTCTGGTTTCTATTAGCCCAAACCCTGTGAAGCTGTAAGCTACTCTGAGCTTTTACAGGGAGCCAGGGAGAGGGGAGATGGGGCTGAGATGAGCCAGGGAGAGGGGAGATGGGGCTGAGATGAGCCAGGGAGAGGGGAGATGGGGCTGATATGAGCCAGGGAGAGGGGACTAAAATGTAAGTAAATGGGAGATGGGGCGGAGATGAGGCCAGGGAGGGGGAGATGTGGCTGAGATACGCCAGGGAGAGGGAAATGGGGCTGAATAGCCAGGGAAGAGGGGAGAGGGGGCTGAGATGAGCCAGGGAGAGGGGAGATGGGGCTGAGATGAGCCAGGGAGAGGGGAGATGGGGCTGAGATGAGCCAGGGAGAGGGGAGATGGGCATGAGCTGGGACGGGCTCCAATAAGACAAAACTCAACAACATTAAACACAAAAGAGTGTGTTAAGAACTGAGCGAGACAGAGAGAAAGAGAGAGAAAATGACTGGACAATCTAGTTGGTGAAAAAGTAAGTTAGTCTGTCTCGCTCCTGGTCTCCAGATACAGATGTGATGTCACTAAAGATGTTGTTAGGGCGGTTACCATGATGACTGTTTTGGTGATGATGTAACACTATTAATGGGATGGAAAGTGAAGTAACGTCATACTGGGCTGAACAGAGAAAGATGGGAGGGGGTCAAATTTTAGGCCAGATTGGACTCAATGACCCCCTCTTTGACATAGAACTACGGGACAGGGGTATGGTATGATGACATCATCGAGAGGAACTGGGGGAGATTGTTGCTCTGCTGTTGTTAAAAACATCCCCATCTTACAATGCTGTTTTAAAACTGGCATTCATCATAGCGCCAGATGGAATCTAAGGGGGTTATTGTTATTTTGTCAAGCAATTAATTGTTTTGTTTAGTAGTAATAGTAGTAGTAGTAGTAATAGCAGTAGTAGTTGTAGTAGTAGCAGCAGTAGTAGTAGCAGCAGTAGTAATAGTAGTAGTAATAGTAGTAGTAGCAGTAGTATTAATAATAGTAGTAGTAGCAGTAGTAGTAGTAGCAGTAGTAATAGTAGTAGCAGCAACAGTAGTAGTAGCAGTAGTAGTAACAGAAGTACCTTACTTAGTAGTACCATAGTAATAACATATTGGTACAGTGTTGAGGTGTCCCAGTACTCACCAGCTGTTGAATGACCCGCTCCACCAGCGTAGAGAAGGACAAGTCGTCTCTCTCACGGTTGTCGTAAACATATTTTATCAGTTTAGGGATGACCTCTGTGTCCGTCTCTGACTCAAACTCGTAGCCCTTGGAGTTCTGAAAGAGGGTGGGGATCAGAATGAATGTTACAAGCTTACTGAAGCAGCACTCCCAGATGTTCCTTTAGCTAGCATAACAACTCCTCTAGCATAACAACTCCTCTAGCATAACAACTCCTCTAGCATAACAACTCCTCTAGCATAACAACTCCTCTAGCATAACAACTCCTCTAGATTAACAACTCCTCTAGATTAACAACTCCTCTAGACTAACAACTCCTCTAGCATAACAACTCCTCTAGCATAACAACTCCTCTAGCATAACAACTCCTCTAGCATAACAACTCCTCTAGCATAACAACTCCTCTAGCATCACAACTCCTCCAACATCACAACTCCTCTAGCATCACAACTCCTCTAGCATCACAACTCCTCTAGCATAACAAATCCTCTAGCATAACAAATCCTCTAGCATAACAAATCCTCTAGCATAACAACTCCTCTAAACTAACAACTCCTCGAGCATAACAACTCCTCTAGCATCACAACTCCTCTAGCATAACAAATCCTCTAGCATAACAACTCCTCTAGCATCACAACTCCTCTAGACTAAACTAACAACTCCTCTGTTGAGCGTGAAAAACCCAGCAGCGTTGGAGTTCTTGACACAAACCGGTGCAACTGGCACCTACTACCATACCCCGTTCAAAGGCACTTAAACATTTTGTCTTGCCCATTCATCCTCTGAATGGCACACATACACAATCCATGTCTCAATTGTCTCAAGGCTTAAAAATCCTTCTTTAACCGGTCTCCTCCCCTTCATCTACACTGATTGAAGTGGATTTAACAAGTGACATAAATAAGGGATCATAGCTTTCACCCGGATTCACTTGGTCAGTCTATGTCATGGAAAGAGCTGTTTTGTATACTCAGTGTATTTTAGTACATATTGAGACTTCACCTGCCACAAGAAACCAGTGAGACAGAACACAGATACAAAATGAATTAGTACATACCATATTGACTAACTGTCATAGCATATCAACTGCTTATGATAAATTAATTGCTAATAATTACTGATAACATTGGTAATAGCTGAGATATGGTCAAATGGGGGAAAAGAACGGGGTAAACAACATCAAAGTACTTCCTTAAGAAGGGCATGGTTCAGAATTTGGCTTCTCCCTTTGTAGTTTACAGCATGTATAGTACAGTCAAGGCTGGGGCAGAAACAGCGCTACTTTCCCAGCAACTTTCGCAGGTTGATGTTTTATTGTAAGTGACATCAATAAGGGATCATAGCTTTCACCTGGTAAAGATTTGGCATGGGCATGGGTAGGGTTAAGTGGACTATTTGCATTGTCCCCACCCTCTCTTTTACAATGCTGCTACTCTCTGTTTATTATCTATGCATAGTCACTTTAACTCTAACTACATGTACACATTACCTCAATTACCTCGACTAACCTGTACCCCTGCACATTGACTCTGTGTCGGTACCCCCTGTATATAGCCTCGCTACTGTTATTTTACTGCTGCTCTTTCATTATTTGTTATTTATATTTTTTACTTAACACTTATTTTTCTTAAAACTGCATTGTTGGTTAAGGGTTTGTAAGTAAGCATTTCACTGTAAGGTTGTATTCACCTGTTGTATTCAGCGCATGTGACAAATACAATTTGATTTGATTGGATTGGATATCATGGAAAGAGTTCTTAATGTTTTTTATACTCAGTGTAGTTGCAATGGGATGGGTAACAACATTCTATACCACATTAATAAGGAGTGGTAACTAGTAATACCAGTAGAGGTCTATCTAGGCCTAACCTGAGTGACATCACAATCAATTCAAATTCTGAGTGAATCACACGACTATGAGAAAGTGGGACTTGAAAGGGGTGTGCGTTAAAATCGAGGCAAGAGAGAGAATCGCCAATCAAAATAAATGTTCTATCACAGCAACCATATTATTTTTGGAGAGCCCAAGTGATTCTGAGTTTGGGCATAGAAAGTTTATATTGAAAACTATTTAGATTTTACGAACTCCCTTCCTTATTTAAATCACTTGCGCTGCTCACGCTGTGAAGTCCACAATATAGAGGGTAACTGAACAAATACGTTGTAGGATTTCTACATAGCCTATGTATGACTTCTGCCTAAAGCAAACATTGCCCATTGCCACTTTGTCAATTCCATTTCAATTCACTTGCATTTGTATAGAATAGTGCAACAGTCAAAAAGCCCTACACAAAGGACCCAGGCCTAAGATTGTCAAAGGCAAAGCTTTGCATGACAGAATGTTTGAAACCCTATAACACTTCTGATCATATCTCGGACCTTAACCAAGGGTGTGACCCAAAACAGGCTGAAGTTTATGGTGGAGTCATTTATACTGAAATAGAGTGAAACTACAGAAACACAGACGGGGGACTGGAGAGGTAGGGTAGGACTTACCAGGTACTTCTTTAACTCTTTGTAGTTGGTGATGATGCCATTGTGGATGACAACAAACTCTGGGGAAAAGAGAGACAGAGAGAGAATACAGTGAAGATACTGTCCAAAACATATTTAATATGATAATGAGTGCCTGAGGAAGGACATGGCTTTGGTCAACTCAAGTAGAACCTGTCTGTCTGTCTGGCCGTCTGGCCTGCCTCTGTCTGGCCTGCCTCTGTCTGGCCTGCCTCTGTCCGGCCTGCCTCTGTCCGTCTGTCCGTCTGGCCTGCCTCTGTCTGTCCGTCTGGCCTCTGTCTGTCCGTCTGGCCTCTGTCTGTCCGTCTGGCCTCTGTCTGTCTGTCTGTCTGTCCTCTGTCTGTCTGGCGTATCTCATGTACTATGTCTGGATGTGTATAATTACTCCTTTCACTGAGGCCTCCCTGTATAAGAGACAAGCTCCTCTAGACCCTCCCTACAATAGAGACGGTGAAGGGGAGGCAGGGCCTGGTCACAGAGGTGGTGGGCTGGTCACAGTCTGTGAGGTGTACCGGTAACTACACAGTGACATCTCTGGACAATCAGTAACCAGAAAAAAAGCTAGCTCACCTCCATTCCAGAAACCTATGTGGCAGAGCAGTGGGTGGGTGTATGTATGTATGGCATGTGTGCGTATGTGTGTAGTGTGTGTAGTGTGTGTTACCGTTGTTCTTGTCGGAGCGGTGGGGATGACAGTTGAGGGCACTGGGTTCACCGTGGGTAGCCCAGCGTGTGTGAGCGATGCCAAAATGTGTGTCCAACTCCGCCTCCAGATCCATGCCGTCTTTCTCTGCTCACAAGACACATCAAGAACTGATCGATGCCATGAGCATGTGATATTATATATATGTCAATGACTGATCAGTAACATGAAAGGGAGCGACATTGCATCGGTCAATAAAGGTACATTATAAAGCACTGTGATAAAGGGTGAAGCTGACAGAGGACTACGGAAGTGTAATTCAGCTCAGAAGTCTTACCATAAACCCTTAGCATAACCTAACGTAGTAGGTGTGAAAGAAACGCCTGAAACTAGATCCCCTTATATACTGGTCTTGACGAGAAGAAAAAAAACTGTCTGGGGAGGTTCTCTTCTGCACTATTCAACCAATCCAGTAAATGAGGACGAGGAGTTAAGATGGAGTATCGCCAAAGACAGTATAGTCCTTAGGTTTAGAAACTCTGTGGTGTCGCCTTGTTAACGTCTAAAAACGGAAGTCGCGTCACATAATCTCTTTTCATTTCCCCTGAAAACCGGAACATCCGGTTCTTGAGGACTCGGCAGAGGCTACCCTTACCATAACCCTACACTGTCGCCTCTTTCATTAGAGAGGTATTGGTTATGGCAAAGAAGGAGGGAAGTGAACTGAAAGGGTCCTTAGGCAGAAGGACAGAAGACAGGAGTTACCAAGAAGAAAGAGAGCTACAGACTATAGAATACTTTGTAAACACATAATACTGACACTGGAGAAAAGGAATGTGATGGATGCAGGTAGTTTGAAACCTACTGTAGAGCTCTTCATCCAGGGCCTTGACCTTGCCTTTCTTCTTTATGAGAACAATGTTGCTGTTGTCTTCTGCTGTCGTCTTCTTGTTGCCGTCCACAGCGATGCCTGAAACCAGAAAAACCAGAAAAACTAATGAGGCAAATGTAAACCAATACCAACCATAAACCAATCATCATCACTGCAGTCTATATTAGCTGGCTAGTACGCTGCAAGGCTAATCAATGAATCAGGTCAACTTGAGAACTGAGACAGTAGTCATGACAATGTGAAAGCTTGTTTGAAAGACTCCAAATCCTAATCCATTTAAAACCTTTTAATGTGATTTAATTATCTTCCCTGAGATAATTCAGGGAAGAGTTAAGTTGTTAATTTAGAGCAAAGAGCTGATTATTGTGGAACCCCTGTGAATATCAACCAGCTGATTACTGTGGAACCCCTGTGAATTTTAACGAGCTCAAATAGAATGACAGGTAATGAGTGTGTGTGTGCAGCATATGGGTTTTACCGGCCATGAAAGGGCATATGTGTTCCATGATAAACAAATATGGGGGGGGGGGGGGGGGGGGGGGGGGGGGGGGGGGGGAGTGTTCATGCGTGTCTGTGGACTCTGGAATATGCCATTGGAGGAATGTCAAAGCAATAATAAATACCAGTGAGGCAGATATCATTGGTGTACGGTGAGGCTCAGAACAGGATTAAAGGCTACAGATTCTCTCCTCACATGAGGGCTCTCTACTACTACCACCTTCTCTGTTATAAGTTCAACTCATCAGACTTATCTGAACGTTGCTGACCGATGCCCTGTCCCAAATCAACCCCTAGCTGTAGCTAAGATCAGATAGTGGAAGTAATAAGGTATTACAGCTAGATGGAGTGCCCACACCCAGTTTCATATGAAGCATGTAATCAGATGTGCACAACTCACCTAATCGTACCTGTCCTGTCTGTCTGTCAACATAGCCCTGATTCCTGGACCTAGATCTACAATGCACTCATCAGGATGATCTATAATTGACAGTAACTGGCAGCACTCAGCTGCCTTGTAAGTGATTAGATACCATAGCTTCAGTATGACCACACAGAGCATGCACCAATACGGTCTAACCGGCCCGAAGCACAAAGAGCAGAAATCAGTAGTCCTTGGGTTTTATGATGTAACAGTGATTTACTATGATTAGTCATAGTTGAGTTGTGCCATAACACTGTCTGTATAGTTACACAGTAAGACTGGATACATTAGTAGAGTGTGTGTGTGTGTGTGTGTTCAGGGTGAAAGATCTGTCGATGTGCCCTTGAGCAAGGCACTTAACCCTAATTTTCTTTAGGGGTGCTGTACTACTATGGCGGACCCTGTAAAACAACACATTTCACTGCACCTATCTGGTGTATGCGAAAATAAAACATATTTATTTATTTATTTACCTGCTGAATCATAGCCTCTGTACTCCAGCCTCTGCAGTCCCTTCACCAGCGTCTCAAATATCTCCTTTCTGGTGCGAGGCACACAGTAATTGAGGTAGGCAAAGATCCCTGCAATGAGGCCAAGTGAGAGAGAGAGAGAGAGAGAGAGAGAGAGAGAGAGAGAGAGAGAGAGAGGAGAGAGAGAGAGAGAGGAGAGGAGAGAGAGAGGAGAGAGAGAGAGAGAGAGAGAGACAGTCACAGACACAGACACAGACACACAGACAGACAGACAGACAGATAGACAGACAGAGACAGATAGACAGCGAGACAGACAGACAGCGAGACAGACAGAGACAGAGAGAGATAGACAGACAGAGAGACAGACAGAGAGACAGAGAGACAGACAGAGGCAGCGAGACAGAGATAGACAGACAGAGAGAGAGACAGATAGAGACAGCGAGACAGAGATAGACAGACAGAGAGACAGATAGACAGCGAGACAGACAGACAGCGAGACAGACAGAGACAGAGATAGACAGACAGAGAGACAGACAGAGAGACAGAGAGACAGACAGAGACAGCGAGACAGAGATAGACAGACAGAGAGACAGACAGAGACAGCGAGACAGAGATAGACAGACAGAGAGACAGACAGACAGAGAGACAGACAGAGACAGAGAGACAGATAGACAGCGAGACAGACAGACAGCGAGACAGACAGAGACAGAGAGACAGACAGAGAGATAGAGAGACAGACAGAGACAGCGAGACAGAGATAGACAGACAGAGAGACAGATAGACAGCGAGACAGACAGACAGCGAGACAGACAGAGACAGAGATAGACAGACAGAGAGACAGATAGAGAGACAGAGAGACAGACAGAGACAGCGAGACAGAGATAGACAGACAGAGAGACAGACAGAGACAGCGAGACAGAGATAGACAGACAGAGAGACAGACAGAGACAGCGAGACAGAGATAGACAGACAGAAAGGCAGACAGACAGAGAGACAGACAGAGAGACAGACAGAGACAGCGATACAGAGATAGACAGACAGAGAGACAGATAGAGACAGCGAGACAGAGATAGACAGACAGAGAGAGAGAGAGAGACAGACAGAGAGACAGACAGAGACAGAGATACAGAGATAGACACAGATCAGCTCTCGTCTTTTCACTGTTTTTTTAACCCTCCCTTTCGTTATTCGATCTTCATATTCAACTTGAGCCTTTTTATCAGTTATTTTACTGAAATGAGCAGTGTGTAGGTCTATTGTAGATTGTACATTCGGTACTGGGTTGTTGAGTTAGGGATTGGGCTGTCATTTCCCATAGTCGTGTTACAATACGTCCTATATTCTGTTTGCAAAGGGTGTAAATCCTATTCTGTTGCTATGGTGCAGCAAACAGTTGATGAGTTGAGGAGGCTTGTACTATATATGTTTTACAGTGTATTTATTCAAATATAGAATAAAACTCTCAGCAAAGTAGTGTAAGAAGTTGAGAACAGAGACGGATAAAGTGTCACTCAGTAACCCAACATTTGTTTGTTGTAGTTCATAATCCTCTCTTCCTGTGTTTGGGAATATAATCCTCTATAATATACTGGAAACAGTGGCCTATGCAGATGGGTTACTGACATTACATTTTAGTCATTTAGCAGACGCTCTTATCCAGAGCAATTAGGGTTAAGTGCCTTGCTCAAGGGCACATCGACAGATTTTTCACCTAGTTGGCTCGGGGATTAGAACCAGCAACCTTTCAGTTACTGGCACAACGCTCTTAACCACTAAGCTACCTGCCGCCCCAGCCAACTGGGGCAGCATAAAAGTGAAATGAAATTATAATATCATTTAAAAAATTGTATATCAATGAATTAGTCCCTAGCCAACTGGGGAAATAATGGTAGCATTTACAGAATATTTGGTGCTGTCTGAATAGGATGTAAAGGGCCTGTCTCAATGAGCAAACCATTACAGTGTACTACAGTTGTTCCCAACCAGGGGTACTAGGAACTGAAAAGGGTTAGGAACCACTGGTGCACTATATTGCCGGGGTTCTGATAAAAACATAACACATTATGCTCTGTAGAGTGCCTCAAAGGGGGTCCGTGATGTGTGATGTGTGCAATTAAAGTTCCCAGTCTGCGCGCTGCGATGGAGGGAGGTTGGTTTAAGGTGGCCATTTAGCGGAGCACATTGCGCAATGTTCGCCTCACCCAGGTACACTCTTAGTAAAAAGAGTTCCAAAAGGGTTTTTCGGCTGTCCCCATAGGAGAACCCTTTCTGGTTTCAGGTAGAACCCTTTCTGGTTCTAGGTAGAACCCTTTTTGGTTTCAGGTAGAACCCTCACCTTCTGTGGAAAGGGTTATCCTTGGAACCCAAAATAGTTATATCTGGAACGAAAAGGGGATACTTCTTCAAAGGGTTCTCCTATGGGGACAGCCGAAGAAACCTTTTAGATTCTAGATAGCACCTTTTTTTCTAAGAGTTGCCGAGAAGAGCAAACTGGTCGACCTAGATATAGTGTCTGCTGTAAAGCTTTGCTTATATTACTCACCTCGGGGTAAAATTGTTATTATTACTATTAAACTAAAAGTATTTAAATAGTATATAATCCTACATTTGCATGATAATGCATAATCATATTTCAGCAACAGAAATGTGCATAGGCCTAGAGTCCAACGACTCGGATGACACCTACATCTTTAAGCATAGGCTACGTAGCAGCTCAACATCCTATTCAGGATGCATGGAATCTATCGCGGAAGGATCAGAGTCCCACCAATATATGGTACTGAGGACCGCAGCAGAACACTGTAATAACCTCCATTTTTATTACTAGTTGTAATACAACTTATATTTACATTTAATCAAGGTTTATATTTATATATATTTTAAAAAATCCCTACACTGACATGTAAATTGCCTACAAGAATGACACCTCATTCCGCATTCAGTGACGCACATACACAAACTGTCTGAACAGACTGGTTTAAAAAAGCCTACAACAACATACATAATAATTAGGTCAGATTCCAATACTAGTAGTAGCCTAAACTAGACTAGCCTACCGTAATGTTTATGCATAATGCGTAATCTGTCTCCTGATTAGGCTATCCAGGTTGCCATTTCCATGATGCACAGTAAAAGATGTAGCCCTATCCGCCTTACCACACATGGTTCTGATTGTCTTGTCCCAACTGGATACTGTTCAGGGCGACGGCCGGTTCGTGGTAGTTTAACCCGTTACTACTGTCTGTAGTTCCCGAGTAGAATCCAAATGGAACTGTGTAAAACTTCTCACTCACACCACTTATTTAAAGCCAGTTTCCGCAAGCGCGGGCTGCACCCCGGCCCCGTCTCCAAGGCAACTAGGGAAACCACCCTTTCACTGTAACCTACACCAACTTTATACTGTAATGTGGACTACTTCCTATCACTCAAGTTTTACTGTAAACCTGTCCTTACATATTCTAGAGACTTCCCATCATACTATAATTGAGACATCATGTGCACTGAACTAAACTAATACCTGAATCTTAACATAGTCAAAAAGAGCCAAAGGCATACTTAAAAGGTTCCGGACCCTTTTTTAAAATTTTCGCCTAAAATGACAGGAGAATAACAACACATTAGATCTGGTAAAAGATAATACAAACAAAAAAACATGCGTTTTAAAAATAAAAAAATGTTACATCATAGTTGAAATGCAGGAGAAAGGCCACAATATAATATTGCAGTTTAGGCGCAATTTAGATTTTGGCCACTAGAAGCAGTGTGTTTGCAAAGTTTCAGATTGATCAAGTGAAGCATTGCAATACTGGACTATTTTGTATCAAGTCTGCCCAAATGTGCCGAATTGGGCAACTGATACATTTCCTCATCCTCATCCTCATCATCTTCCTCCTCCCCATCATCATCAATAGTATTTGATGTCCTTGCATACAGTGCCTTGCAAAAGTATTCATCCCACTTGGTGTTTTTCCTATTTTGTTGCATTACAACCTGTAATTAAAATTGATTTTTATTTGGATTTCATGTAATGGACACACACAAAATAGTCCAAATTGGTGAAGTGAAATGAAAAAAAAAAAAAATTCAAGAAATTCTAAAAAATTTATAACGGAAAAGTGGTGCGTGCATATGTATTCACCCACTTTGCTATGAAACCCCTAAATAAGATCTGGTGCAACCAATTACCTTCAGAAGTCACATAATTAGTTAAATAAAGTCCACCTGTGTGCAATCTAAGTGTCACATGATCTGTCACATGATCTCAGTATATATACACACACCTGTTCTGAAAGGCCCCAGAGTCTGCAACACCACTAAGCAAGGGGCACCACCAAGCAAGCGGCACCTTGAAGACCAAGGAGCTCTCCAAACAGGTCAGGGACAAAGTTGTGGAGAAGTACAGATCAGGGTTGGGTTATAAAAAAAAAACAGAAATGTGAACATCCCAAGGAGCACCAATAAAACCTGCCAAGAGAGGGCCGCCCACCAAAACTCACAGACCAGGCAAGGAGGGCATTAATCAGAGAGGCAACAAAGAGACCAAAGATAACCCTGAAGGAGCTGCAAAGCTCCACAGCGGAGATTGGAGTGTCTGTCCATAGGACCACTTTAAGCCGTACACTCCACAGAGCTGGGCTTTACTGAAGAGTGGCCAGAAAAAAAGCCATTGCTTAAAGAAAAAATAAGCAAACACGTTTGGTGTTCGCCAAAAGCCATGTGGGAGACTCCCCAAACATATGGAAGAAGGTACTCTGGTCAGATGAGACTAAAACTGAGCTTTTTGGCCATCAAGGAAAAAACCCAACACCTCTCATCACCCCAAGAACACCATCCCCACAGTGAAGCATGGTGGTGGCAGCATCATGCTGTGGGGATGGTTTTCCATCGGCAGGGACTGGGAAACTGGTCAGAATTGAAGGAATGATGGATGGCGCTAAATACAGGGAAATTCATGAGGGAAACCTGTTTCAGTCTTCCAGAGATTTGAGACTGGGACGGAGGTTCACCTTCCAGCAGGACAATGACCCTAAGCATACTGCTAAAGCAACACTCGAGTGGTTTAAGGGGAAACATTTAAATGTCTTGGAATGGCCTAGTCAAAGCCCAGACCTCAATCCCATTGAGAATCTGTGGTATGACTTAAAGATTGCTGTACACCAGCGGAACCCATCCAACTTGAAGTAGCTGGAGCAGTTTTGCCTTGAAGAATGGGCAAAAATCCCAGTGGCTAGATGTACCAAGCTTATAGACATATACTGCTCAAAAGAATTAAGGAACACTTAAACAACACAATGTAACTCCAAGTCAATCACACTTCTGTGAAATCAAACTGTCCACTTAGGAAGCAACACTGATTGACAATACATTTCACATGCTGTTGTGCAAATGGAATAGACAACAGGTGGAAATTATAGGCAATTAGCAAGACACCCCCAATAAAGGAATGGTTCTGCAGGTGGTGACCACAGACCACTTCTCAGTTCCTATGCTTCCTGGCTGATGTTTTGGTCACTTTTGAATGCCGGCGGTGCTTTCACTCTAGTGGTAGCATGAGACGGAGTCTACAACCCACACAAGTGGCTCAGGTAGTGCAGCTCATCCAGGATGGCACATCAATGCAAGCTGTGGCAAGAAGGTTTGCAGTGTCTGTCAGCGTAGTGTCCAGAGCATGGAGGCGCTACCAGGAGACAGGCCAGTACATCAGGAGACGTGGAGGAGGCCGTAGGAGGGCAACAACCCAGCAGCAGGACCGCTACCTCCGCCTTTGTGCAAGGAGGAGCAGGAGGAGCACTGCCAGAGCCCTGCAAAATGACCTCCAGCAGGCCACAAATGTGCATGTGTCTGCTCAAACGGTCAGAAACAGACTCCATGAGGGTGGTATGAGGGCCCGACGTCCACAGGTGGGGGTTGTGCTTACAGCCCAACACCGTGCAGGACGTTTTGCATTTGCCAGAGAACACCAAGATTGGCAAATTCGCCACTGGCACCCTGTGCTCTTCACAGATGAAAGCAGGTTCACACTGAGCACATGTGACAGATGTGACAGAGTCTGGAGACGCTGTGGAGAACGTTCTGCTGCCTGCAACATCCTCCAGCATGACCGGTTTGGCGGTGGGTCAGTCATGGTGTGGGGGTGGCATTTCTTTGGGGGGCCGCACAGCCCTCCATGTGCTCGCCAGAGGTAGCCTGACTGCCATTAGGTACCGAGATGAGATCCTCAGACCCCTTGTGAGACCATATGCTGGTCCGGTTGGCCCTGGGTTCCTCCTAATGCAAGACAATGCTAGACCTCATGTGGCTGGAGTGTGTCAGCAGTTCCTGCAAGAGGAAGGCATTGATGCTATGGACTGGCCCGCCCGTTCCCCAGACCTGAATCCAATTGAGCACATCTGGGACATCATGTCTCGCTCCATCCACCAACGCCACGTTGCACCACAGACTGTCCAGGAGTTGGCGGATGCTTTAGTCCAGGTCTGGGAGGAGATCCCTCAGGAGACCATCCACCACCTCATCAGGAGCATGCCCAGGCGTTGTAGGGAGGTCATACAGGCACGTGGAGACCACACACACTACTGAGCCTAATTTTGACTTGTTTTAAGGACATTACATCAAAGTTGGATCAGCCTGTAGTGTGGTTTTCCACTTTAATTTTGAGGGTGACTCCAAATCCAGACCTCCATGGGTTGTTAAATTTGATTTCCATTGATAATGTTTGTGTGATTTTGTTGTCAGCACATTCAACTATGTAAAGAATATTCATTCAGATCTAGGATGTGTTATTTTAGTGTTCCCTTTATTTTTTTGAGCAGTGTATATACCCCATGAGACTTGCAGCTGTAATTGCTGCAAAGGTGGCTCTACAAAGTATTTACTTTTTGGGGGGGGGGGGGGGGGGTGAATAGTTATGCACGCTCAAGTGGTCTGTTTTTTTTGTCTTATTTCTTGTTTGTTTCATAAGAAAAAATATTTTGCATCTTCAAAGTGGTAGGCATGTTGTGTAAATCAAATGATACAAACCTCCCAAAAAATCAATTTTAATTCCAGGTTGTAAGGCAACAAAATAGGAAAAATGCCAAGGGGGGTGAATACTTTCGCAAGCTACTGTATAAGCTGGTCTAGTTCTTGTGGCAGTTTTGTTTGGCGAGTCTAGCAGTCTGGACTGACCACCTGGCAGTCAAACCTGGGTTGTACACCTCAAGACCATGTTATTCTACAGAGCTTAAGCCTAGGCTCGGGTCTTCAGGTCTCAGACGAGATCACTCATCATGCAAGCATAGTTCACTGAACCACCTCCACTCAACTTTACGTAGAGCTACAGATAGTCAGAGCAACTAGGCCAAGCATGCCAATGGAGTCTATAGTCCAGTCCAGTCTTTATCATACCATTACTGTCAGTGGGGTACTGATATCGTCCCAATCCCTGTACATTTACAATCTTGACGTGGCTTTATAACTTTGTAGGCCAAGGGAGGACCTTGAGAGTAATTACTCACAATCATTTAGCAACAAATAAAGGGAGATATAAGGAAACATCCACCAAGGGATGGCCCAATTTAAATATATGATAGTGGATACAGAGGGATGAATGGCATGCATTGATTATTTAGGAGTGGGTTGATTGTGCACACAGTAACTGAGCTTTATTGCACATATTAAATGTGTATGGCTGTATAACACAGGAATTGTAGTGATAAATCGTCTATATAAACTGTTGTTAAGGTGATGCAAAGCGATGTTTGTCCACAGTACTGTTTGATTAATAGTTTATCAAGAGAGGAGTGGAGGGTAGAGACAGTCAGAACAGATGAAAGGGTTGGTGTGAGGTGTGACCCAGGTGCGGTGCAGGTTAGACAATAGGCAGTAGGCAGAGATGGTGAAACAATGATCTTTACTGATGGTCCCGAAGCCAGGATACAAAATAACAGACTTCACACGAAAAAGAAAGGCGGAGCAAATAATACTCAAAAAAACAGGCAGACAGACAAAAATACAAAATACTAACTATGACTGAAATAATAAATAAACAGGGAGAACACTTATAATAATAATATGCCATTTAGCAGACACTTTTATCCAAAGCAACTTACAGTCATGTGTGCATACATTTTTACGTATGGGTGGTCCCGGGGATCGAACCCACTACCCTGGCGTTACAAGCGCCATGCTCTACCAATTGAGCTACAGAGAACACTTCGCACGTGCCTGTCCATACGTCCCGTGATCAGACACTGATTAGTACTGCTTGGCATAGTGAAACTAGTAGAGAAAA